TTCGTAATATATTTATGTATTTTCGATTATTATATAAATGATACTTTATAAAATGCTATATAATGTCGTAAACATTTACTGGCTTAAACTGTTGTATTTATTGTTAAACAAATTTATGTTATAGCTAGGAGTTTCCAAAAAAAAAGTATTTTTTGTCCTTAAAGTTGGCTTTAAGCCAAACTCTTTTATTTACATTACTAAACCACCAGCAATTATTACATGTATCCTTTACAGTTTAGTATTTTTGTCCCTTTTGTATGCAGACTCCACACTGAGTTTGTGAACATTGTTGTCTGTTGTTGAGCTGGCAATCAGTTGCAGACTCTTCACAACACACAGGGTATAAAATTTGACAACAATTAAAAAAAAAAATGTAGCAGCAATAGCAACATTGTTGTTGTTTTTTTTTGTCGTATAAACAAATTATTGGGGGAGTAGTAAATAAATTTTGGTTTTATTGTGTAAACTAACAAACAAAAATATGCCAACTTTTTTTATTGTTAGGAACTTTGAACAACATGGTGTATGAGTGTTAGATAAATATTGAAAAATTATCATACGTACAGTAGTGCCAACCATAAAAATTATATTGATTTTGTCATTCCATATTGTACTGGATCCTTATTAGACTCTAGGACGATCCAATATTGTCTATCAGTCTGTCAGTCAGTCTTTCTGTATGTCGGTCTGTCTCCATATTCTACTGGATCCTTATCAGACTCTAAAACGATTCAACCATGTCTACTAGTACGTCTGTCTGTCTGTCAGTCTTTCTGTCTGTCTGTCTGTCTGTCTGTCTGTCTGTCTGTCTGTCTGTCTGTCTGTCTGTCTCCCTGTCTGTCTGTCTGTCTGTCTGTCTCTCTGTCTGTCTATCTATCTCTTGAAAGAACGATAGGGTCCGAATGGAGGAATGAAAAAGTACCAGTATAGGGATGAAATCTGATATAATCCGATAAGAACCAAAATTCCTATAACAATTTACATGATTATTGTTTAATAATTGACCATAAAATCCTCTAACTTTTTTCTATTTTTTACATATTTGCTCTAAGAAAACTTTAAGCAAATATGATATTTAATGGAAATTCTTATAAAGGGGAACAATTTCAAATAAAAATTAAACAAATAGGTTAATTTTTAAGTTTTTAAAACTTTTCATTGTTCACTATGTACGCGGCGTATGAGTACTAAACAAATAATGAATAATACTCATACGTGCAGTAGGACAATAATGTTTTCTCTTCCGTTTGCAAAACTTTAAAAATGAAAAATTTAATGAAAAATCTACTAAAGGACAATAGTTTTGAATCAAAGTGACAAGTTTTCCAACTGTCCGCAACATTAAGATAAATATTGATTATTACTCATACGTACAGCAGGACAATATAGTTTTCTTTTTGGTTACGAAACTTTCTGATATTTTCTTCATGAAAGGGTTTTTATGAAATTTACTTTAACTTTAAAAATATTATTTGTTTCTTTTTTAATTTTTTTAGTGATTTTTTTAGTTTACTTTATTATCAACCTTGTTCGCATAAATTCTATAAAAATCTAGTATTTTTCTTAATTTAACAAAAAAACTTTTACAAATTGCCCCTAACTGCCCCAACATTGGCCCCATATGTATTAAACTACATGTATACGTCTGTATGTAGTAGCTCAACAAAATTATAATAAATTATTTTCCAGCACTTATCTATTCAATTTATATTAAGCAAAATATTTACTTAGTACATTTGTATAATCAACAGCATATACAACGAAATGTACTCATTTTTAGCATTTTTTGTATATATATATTTTTTTTTTGCAAAACGGCTTTAAACTCCCTTAGGTCATTTTTTGTTCACAAGTTTGTAGTTTCATTGTGAATCTTGATCTATTTTGCTTGTGAAGAAAAAAAAAAAGAAACCAGCAGCCAAACAGTAACAAGTGTTGGCACAGATTTGCCTCCACAACATACCTCCTCTAGAACTAGATTTTTTTCATTAATTTTAAATGAAGTTTCTTGTTGTTGCTGTAGTGGTAGTAGTGAAACAAAAAGTACAAACAAGACCTTTACACTTAAAAGTGCTTGTGTTAGTACGCTCAGGAGTCCTCTTTAGTATACATGTGTTTTGCAGTGTTAAGAATTATATACTTTTTCTTGTATATATTTATGTTAGTTCATACTTTTGTCATTATTACCATTCGGCCACAGATAAACAGCAGATGAATAACCCAGGCTCTGGTCGTTTTTTTCTATTTCTTTTCTCCATTTCATGTCACTTAAATGATTCATACCGAATCTTGTTTTCAGAAAAGCAGTTTCTATACAAAAGTGTATTGTAATTTGGCTTAAATCCAAACCAAAAATCGTGTCAAAACAATTTTCTATTTCTTGTAACGCTAGTACTCTGCACAAACCTTAGTAAACCTCATTTTGTGTTGCATGCCTTAACATATGTTTTAACGAGACCATCTCAAACATCATAAACCACATTTGGTGGGTGTTATTAAAACGCTCACACTTTGTTATACAGCTACAAAGTGACTAAAAAAAAGTGTTTAAATATTTATAAATCTTATTCAATGCCAATGAATAGAGTGCTTTACACCGTATTTTTATTTGTTTAGAACTGAACTAAACTGAATAGAATAAAAAAAAAATGTTACGTTGACAAGCTTAAGGGCACATTCAATTTATGAGATGCTCTAAAACAAGTTGTTGTGTAAATATTATGAAATCCTTGAAGTCATTTTTATTTCAATCTTGTTTCTTTTCTTTCTTTCTTTTTTTTGTGTGAACAAAACAAATACATATTCTACCAACTTTAGTATTTTTTCATAATTTTTAATGACTCTCCTGAGAATTGCGTTTAGGAAACTGCTTTGAAAAAAATGATGTTAAACAGTTCGTTAATACTTTTTACACTTAATGGCATACAGTTTTAAAAGACACTTCATACACTTTGGTCACACCTGAGTCTTGATTTAAAAAAGTAGAATTAACATTAAGAAAATGTTTTGCCGTCGCTGCTGGTTGGATTTTAAGCCAAATGAGCATTTTATACAGTGTTCTGGTCCTTGTGCCTGGTATTTTCACAATCGCTGTGTCGATTTGCCAGATGCAGTGGCCCACGAAATGCTGGCAAATCAAGAATTAGAATGGTATTGTTGCCATTGTCGTCAATTATATCGTTTGCAGTTATATTTTGAGGTAAATAGTACAATTTTTAGAGGAGTATACCATTTCGTTTGTTTTTTTTTTTTTTTTTAATTATTTAGAATTATGATTCACATTTGCCAAAAAAACCTTGACATTTTGTCTCATTAAAATTTAAGCCATATTGTTAAATGCGTTTTATTATTTTATGTTTAAGGCCAAATAGGGGTATGAGGAATAAAACCGTTTCGCTTTTGCACTAAATGACCTTCAACTTGAAAAATGTCTTTATAAGGTGTGTCTTTACTGCACTAAAAGGCAAGACAAGTGTTGTTTCGTGTTCAAAAATAAGAACTAAATAAAGTCATGTCAAGTCAACTTAAATAAAGTTAATTTAGTTTTTGTGTTTTTAGCTACATTTTGAAAATGATTAATATTTAAGACTTAATAATAGTAGTAAAATTAATATTAATATTTGCAGACACTTGATAGAGGAAAAAAACACAGTATGAAAATTTGGTATGGGGGCGTATGATTAATATTTATTTCAAATAAAAATGACAACATTACGAAATAGTTTGAATTAAAGTTCTGGCAAATAATTTACATTTTTTAAACTTTAATAGAAGTCTTGGAGATCGCTTTTTTAAAATTTAATTTCTTTAACCAAAAATTTCATTATTTAAGGTTAAATCTATAATCAAGACCTAATTAGAACAGCCTTTTGCTGCTGGTTTTAAAACATTCTTTAATTTATTCTATCCAATTATAAATTTAACTCAAATAAATTTTCAACCAAAAAAATACCCAGGCAATATTAAATTTTAATTTCTTCCTCACTCATTGTTAGTTACATTTAAAGAATGATAATTATTTCCTTCAACTACAAAAAATAGAAGGAAGAGAAAAATACACACACACATAAGAATTACCCCCTCCAAAACATAAGAAGCTATTAACAAAGCCCTCTAGTGAAGGCAGCTTTTAATGGTACAAAAAAAGTACACACACAAAAAACGAGAATCCATACTCCAAAAGGAAATGCTTTTTAGAAAATGAAAAATTATTTCAAAATACAATGGTTGCAAATCAACAAAAAAAAAAAAAAGAAATATGTTTATGTCGAAACAAACAAAAAAAAAAAAGACTGAATACTTTTCTAAAGAACAATACAAAAACTCATGCCAAAGTAAGAGAAATATTCAGCTATGATAATTATAAAATACTTTTACTTTCTGCGAATAATTATGTTTTATGAAAAACTTCGATTCTGAACCGCGCTGCAGTCATCCATGGTCTCTTACCATTTAATAGTAATTTTTCTACAACAACAAAAACGTCATTATTATCTTGAATAACATCCTTATCATTACGACTCATTTGCTGACCTTCTCTTCTTTTGATTTTTTTTGTCAAGATTATTTTGTTTTAGTAGTGGTGGCGTTTTGTTTTTTTTCTTCTCCTTTATATCCTTAAGGCTTTTGTTGTATGCTTGTGCCGTCAGTGTACTATTTGTAAGTGAAATTATTATGTTTGTATTACTTGGTGGTCTAAGGGAGCGTGCTTAACTTGTAAGATTTTTGGATTATTTTTAACACAAGCTAGTTGTTAATAAAGAACAAAAACAAGTATTTTGTGTTATAGAAAAGTTTTTGTCTATTTTCGTTCTAAGTGTCTATTTTCTATATAAGAGGGTGCAAAGTGTTTTCTAAGCCTTAGAGAATTTTTTTTTTTATTGCTACGAGTTTTTTTGAATTATGTGTAAAGTAAATTTGAAATTTGTTTAATGAATTTAACAAAATTCGTTTATTAATTAACATTTTTCTCTTTTTGTTGTGGTTTTTTCTTGTTTCAGATTGCCATCTGTGATGATTATAGTCTGCCTGTGGACTTTGTTAAGAAACGACCGTCCAGTTTTGATCCCTGTTTAGCAGAAGCATTACCCACAAATCCCGAAAATTGGGCAACTGCAGCTGCTGCTAGTCCACAACAGGAATTTGTAAGTACAACTAAATATTACTAATTTTTTGTCTAAAATTGGGGAAAATTTTAATGGATTTTTTTTTTTGAAAAAGTTAAATTTCTTGAAAAAGTAAAATTTTAGTAAAAATTTTTAATTTTTTGAAAAAAAATTTTAAGTTCAAATTATGATTTTTGGTAAAAATATAAATTTTTGGCGAATTTTAAAAAACAATTTGAAAAAATTCGATTTTTTGCCAAAAGCAAAAGGCAGGAATAGTTTCCAAATTCATTTAGTTTATTAATTTAGTAAAAAATTCTGGATACAACAAATTAGTAGCAATAGTTCGAAGACTTTGTGTAAAAAAGAAGATTTATTTTTAACAAGACGGATTCCTTTAATTGTTTTCAATTACTGATTTTATTTAATAGAATTTAAATTTGTCTTTAAAAGTTTCTTTTTTAAATTCCAAAAGATTAAACATGTTTAATTTAATAAATTTTATTACAAAATTTTATAGATTTTTATATGGTTTTCAATACATATACTCGAACAAATGTTTCCATTTTTCACACAGACATACATATGTATGTGTATCAATACATTGATTTTACTTTCAATTTTCCTAAGGCTTCAATGTCATAAAGTCATAAATGTGTACAAGAGCGTGTGGGTGTGTACTTTTCCACTTGAGCCCCCTTATTTAAGGGGCTGAGGTTTTAGATATTGCAAAAATCATAAATGTTTCGCTTTTTTTTTTTGTTTGCTTTCATTGCGGCTTTTACAAGATTTAACGTCAATATGAAAATATATGTACATATGTATGTGAAAGCGTGTATGGTAAAGTACATAATGTACGAGTGTGCAAGTGAGACATGTGCTGCTAGAGCATTACTTAGCAGTGAAGGAAGAGGCAGCCTGAGTAGGAAAAAAAAAACTAAGAATGTTTAAAGATATTTATTAATAAATGTGTTTTTTAGCTAGAGGCTAAAAATAAGTAACTTTAAGTAGATTTTTAGAAAAAATTGAGGAGAAAAAGTTAAATATTTATTTCCGGTAAATAGATAAAATAGTGTATGTTTAAAGTTTAAACTTAGGTATCTCTAAAATTTTGTAAATTTATGGTAATAGGTATGAGTTAGCTTATTCTGGTAAGGTTTAGAATGTATATCTTGTTTAGCAAATAAACCTTAACCAACAACATAGATTCAAAGATTATTTAAAATTCGTATATTTGTTTTCTTTCTGAATTACTTTATTTGAACTAAGCATGAATCATTTTTGTTTACACACACAAACACAAAACAAACAAATTTAGTAAATACAAAACAAATATAAATTATTATCCTTTAGATACAAGAGCTGTTATTTGATTATATTAAAAATCTAACAAACAATCGTACATATTAATATATACAATCATACATATGTGTGTTTGTATTTGAATATATTTGCCAGTATAGATATGTTAGTTATGTGTGTGTGTGTGCATTTTCATTTATTTATGTTGGTATGTTTATTGAAATTAATAAAAACGGAAACCCTACTACATTTACGTGCTAGACTTATTTCCTATTTTGTTGCTGTTGTAGTTGTTTATGTATAAATATATTTTATGCTTGAGTTAGAATGGGAAGGAGTACATTTTATAAATGTCTACATTGTTTGTTGCTAGGTTTTTTTTCATTCTCTTGTTTTTCTGCCGGTTTGATTTTTTTCTTCCTATTGCTGGCTGGTTGTTCTTGTTTATGGCACCCCATGGTGTTCTATTATTTTTGCCAATACCCCATCAAACATTTAAGCCACCAAACAGTCAGCCAGCCAACCAACCATCTAACCTCTTTGCCCCACCAAAGAAACATAAAATCTTGTTGTTGTAATCAACCAGCTGTGTATGCACGTTTTAACTCTTGATGCTTTTTACGTAAATATTTACTACTACTCGTACTTGTGTTTTATTTTATGTTATTTTTTTTTTTTTGCTTTTGCTCTTTACAACCAGATAAAATTACGCATATTTTAGTCTAACAATACAAAAGTCTAACTAAGTAGTAATATACAGCAGCAGCAACTACAACAAAAACCACATGTAGTCTTTATATTGTTGTTTTTGTCGTTTTTGTTTAGTGTTTACTACGCAACCATTATTAATAAAGACAAACAGAACAAAACAATACAAAATAAAATAGACTAGAATCAAGGAAATAAAAAGAAATATTTACACTCATCTTTGTAGCGAAGGCGTATGAGTGATACGCATAAAAAATATCAAGTAGTAATGATGCTTTTTTTGTTATTGTTCAAAAACACATTTCTCTTACTCATATCACACACACACACATGTTTATTTAAACACATAAGCATCAACATTTATGACAAAGTCTCTGTTTTGACATTGAAACAAATAAAATTGAAAAACCAAGAAATAAGTGTAATAAAATAAACTGTTTTTAACGCTTTCTATTAAACAAAATGTTGTTTTAAAGGTTATAGTTTTTAATCAAGTGGCTTTTTTTCATTTTACAGTTAATCTTATTTTTGGTAGAAAGGAGTTCTATAAAACGTATTTTTAACAAAATTGATTTATTTATCTAGATATTGCTTAACGGTTTAAGTAAATTGAATAAAAAAATCTTCTTTTTTTAAGATTTCAAATAAAGATTTGCTTAAGGCTTAGATATGTTAACTGATTGTCACCTAAACACGTTTTAAATGAAATTTGTCGTTTGACTAAAGAAAGTTATAGAAAAGTTTAAATGGAAATAGTTAAGTGATTTTTGCCTATAGCTATTATTTGCGAAAGTGGATTTAAAAATGTTGACAAGACTTTAGTATACTTATTATAGTAAAAAGTACTTTTTTGACAATTTTTAAAGAGATGCAATATGATTTCTAGGTAAAACTACACAGAGGGGAAAACTAAATATACACGCCTGTTACCAAAATGACACCGAACTGTGTATAATTTTTCAATAACATCCGTTGTCAAAGTATAAGTAAGACAACACTATGTAATGTTGACAACGTTGTGCTGTCAATTTTTTGTCGTTGTCAAAAGTAGAGCTTACCACGTTTAGACAACATATGTGTATAAAATTTAGATTTCGACAATGAATTGTTACAACGTTGAATGTCAACATTACATAGTGTCGTCGTACGTATGTATATACTTTGACAACGGATGTTATTGAAAAATTATAAACACTTTGGTGTCAATTTGATACCAGGCGTGTATATTTCTTTTTCCCTCTGTGTACATACTTATATTTGAAGAAACACAACTGTTATAAAACTATTCATTTTCTGATCCCACAATGATACGCAAATGGTCTGGATACTTCCTTACATATGATGGAGTCAATTAAGCTATGGCTAACTGTCTATTTTTCTGTCCATCTGTATGTTTGTTGTAATCAATCCAAACATCCTAGATATTTTCAGCATCAAATTCAATAATTCAGATAGACTTTTGAATCAAAATCGGTCCATAAATTCCGAAACAACCCGTGAACATATTTGTATTTTATTATTTTTTTTATTATTTTTTGCTGTAATCATAAATTCTATTTAAATTAATTATCAATACAATCTTACTCAACTTGTTAAGCTTAAAATTTATGGTCATTTTGCAGTTTATTACAACTGAGTATGTCATTAATTTATTACCAAAACAAATGACCATTTAATTACAATTTATTGCAAGTCTAGTAGCAGAAAACACTTTCAGTTATCAGTTACAAAACAGGTGTTCAGTAATTAATTTGAAAACAACTTGACAGTTACTAAAAGGATATACATATGTAGAGAAATAACAACAAAAAGAGAAAAAGTAAACAAAATTAATTAAAAGCTAATTTTTATAGCAACTGTGAATAGTTGTTGCAATTATGTTAATAAATTAATTTATATTATCTTCTATTCCTATTATACTTAAGATTTATAGATAAAAACATTCTTGTTTTTATTAAATTATTAATAATTCCTTTTTTATCTTTAAATATTTTCATAAAATTTCTTTTACTCTCTTTAACAATACTTTGAAAATTTATGCAAATTTATTTTAACCTTTAATTGGCCACAAACAATTTTAATGTTAACTTATCGTTTACACAAAATATAACGCATTAAATTTAAAATAAATGACATTGTCAATAATTTCAATTTCAAATAAAATTCTCCCTAAAAGTAGGCAAAAGTATCACTTTCAATTTTGTTCAACTAAATATGCTCGCTTAGAAAGAGGGGGAGAGAAAGAAGGAAATTATTATACATAAAGGTAGAGCAGGTTACAGATGGTTATTTTTGATGACGCTAGCAGCTATGAGTGGGGGGTGTTAATGATGATGATGACTACGACGATGACGACAATGTTGATTTTGACTTTACTTGGCATTTTGTGCAATTGTTTGTGGTTAACAATAAACAACAATAATGAGTGTTGTCATTGCTATCTTTAAACAACAATGATGAGTCCGACAAACATTTTAACAAACCAACAAATATACAAATGGTAATGTATAGGCTGTATGGAAAAAAACAGACAGACCTTAATAATGACAAAAACGTGCAATAGTCAACCTCATACAGCTGATACTTTATGATATTGATACTTATGACTACATATCTACAAATAATAACAACAACAGCAACAAAATGTATAGTCTATATGTCAAAGTAATGAATGCTGTAAGCAATTTATAAATAGGCTCACTTACCCAGAGTACTCTCACCAGTATTACCGAGACATATACCACATCCATACTTATGCTTGTATCTATTTCTGTGTAATTTTATCTTTTTCTGCAGTAATGGTCCGTAAGTCTAGCATTTACTGAAAGAATTTTAGAGTTGCTGGGTAAAACATTTTATGTTTTTTTTTAAATTATTATAGTTCAGTGGTTTGAGTTAGATGAGTTTTTATTGTTGTCAATATTAATATCATGTCATTTGTCATTTATAAGGTAACAAAAGAATCAAGTTTTATTCATATTACTTACAACAGCAACATAATGTTGAACAATATTAAAGTAGTCTCTGTGTCTGTCTAGCTTTATACAAACCCCTCTCTCTCGCTCTTCTTTTTACATGTGTTATTGTTGTTGTCTTACCTATACATTGCTATAATTTTTCTTACATATCCCAGTAATTTTCTAAGGGGTCAGTGTATTCCTGTTACAATTTCACTTCATTTCGATTTCAAATGGACTAAGCAAGTGATTACTTCTGGCGGAAGTTGAGATTATTATGAACAAGCTAAATAATCTAGAAATAGACAAATTAGTTAGTTAGACTTTTAAGAAAAATTTTACTCCTAAAGGGGATACATTGATTTCTCATAAAACTGCTGGTTATAATAATTTAGTTTTGTAAGGTGAGTTATTGCTTCGGGTTTTGTTGTTGGTGCTATTGTTCATTTTATTTATTTACAGTATTACATATTGTTCAACATTGTATGTATTTATGATTTACATAAAGTCATTTTTAAATATACATAAATTATAATGAATGTCCTCCACCTACTCCTCTACTGCTATAACAGAAGTCACTGTAAATTTGATATAGAAAAGTTGATATTAAAAAGGACATGATATTGGAAATTCAAATCTCTAGAACACATAACTGTAGTTTATGAAGTTTTTAAAACAAAGCAGCTAATTCAAAAAAGTACTAGTCAGAAAATGGATCTCATTGGTTCTTAGAAGATTTGTATCAATATTTAGTCTGAAAACGTTAAAATTTAGATCTTAAAGTAAATATTAAAAATGTCTATCGAAATGTTTACCAAATGATATTTCATAATTTATTTAAATAATCGAAAATTCCCTTTTTAAAAAACCTCCAATAGAACATCCTTCAAAATTGTATACAAAACACGTGCACTTTGTTGGTTCAAAAGAACCAAAAAGCTCTTCACATCACAAATATTATACGCCATTTTTCTTCTTTTTTTTGGAGGGGGGAGAGAAGTATAAAATGAAAACCGTAGGTATGAAATTCAGTTGTGCAGCTATAAATTACAAAAATACATAGAAGTTGTGGCTGGCTAAATGTTTGACTAACTGACTGGTTTTGTCTAGTATAAAATTTTCCACTCAACCTTTTTCTAAAGCAAACATTTTGTAACTGTGACATAATGGTTGTTTCCCTTGCCGTACATTTCATTTTTTTACGTTTGTTAATGGCATTTGATGATGATGCATGCAAAATGTGGTATTTTTATCTTTTATAGTCAACTGTCAATGTGTTGAGTTTTATCACATAAGTTGTTTTAATCTACAACCAAAAAATAAGAAAAACATAAAATGTCATATTTTTAGACAATATTTTAAGCGGAAATAGTCTTAGAATTGTAGAAATTTTAATTGCAGGTGTATGATATACAAAAATTTAAGGAAAAAGACAAACAGTCAAGAAATCTATATTTAGCAAATACTCTTATTTTATATTTAAATGAACTTAAATTTTATTTATAACCTTGTTGAGGGGTTTCTCTAAAAATTTTGGTTGCTAACGGCTTTATATAGTGTCGCTAATGAGTTGCTTTTGGCAATATTTAAATTGTTTCTCTTAACGATGAAAAACTTGCTTAGTTACTCTCAATAATTGAGTTTTATTAACAACATTTTAATTAATATTAAGTGGTTGTTTAGTGAAATTTAATTAAAGCTTAATATTTCGCTACTTGTTTTTGTATAAATTGCAGGCAACATTTGCTGAACATCAACAGCAGCAGGCTGAATCACAGGCACCACCACCTCCGGCCCCTTTATCGACTTTACCCTCCAGAGTAAATGCAAATCTAAATGCTTTAGCCCAGGAAACAGCAGTCCATAATAGTACTTTACCCACACAATCGGTTGGTGCTCTGCAACAACAACAACTCCAACCATCACAAACCCTTCAGCAGCCATCACAGAGTCAACATCAACAACAACATCAGCAGCATCAACATCATCATTCGCAAAAGTCACATGGCACACGTAGCCAGACGCATCAACGTTTACCACATCCGACAAGTGCTGTAATATCGACAGCCACTGTTGCCTCTCTGCCACCACCTTTACACATACAAAGTCAAATTTCTAACATTAAACAAGCATCAGTCAAACTTATTGAAGGCTATTCTGATCCCAAAGATACTAAACGTCATAAAAAAGTCTATCACAAGAAGGCCAAGAGACGAGCTCATAAAAATCGCCACCAACAGCAGCAGCATCAACAGCAACCGTCAGAAAAACAACAACAGAATAATCAGCAACAATCCAATAATTCGCATACGTTAACAACAGCTGCTCAAACCAAAGAGAAGGATAAACGCAGCAATTACAATTCAGGTAAGTGGTGAGATGAAATCATCCCTGACAAAATAAAAAATCAAGTACAATGGTCGGTAAGGTCGGACATACGAACTCATCCTTATGTACATAAAACAATTGCCAATTAGTTACACATGGGGTCCAGTCCGTTTAGTTTTTTATTTTTTTTTTTTGTATTTTTTCCATTATTTCTATTCCTTTTATTTTACTTAAATACAAGGGTTACATGTTGTTTTTCCAAAGTCCAACTAATCTGTCAGTGTTGTTTTTTCTCTTCAATGACTTGTTTGCTTGCAAAACTCTTTAACAAAGTTTAAACGATTTTAATCAACTTTCACTTACTCTCGACAACAACTGCATGATATAAATTAACTTTCAAACCATTTGCAACAACAAAAAAATAACCCCCTCTCATCACTATATTTACCTCACTGAATATAGAAAAGATAAAAATACAGAATCAGTGGCTTTTCCAATGCAAATGTTAAGTGCAAAAAACTCCTGACAATATAATTATTTCTTTATCCACCACATTTACACACACACAAGCCAACGAAGGCTTTCATGCATGAAATAGACATTTCAACCAACACTTTCACAAACACTTCTCTCATCTCTTTGGAAGTTTTTCTATGAACTTTAAACTAAAATATTTTGTTTTTTCTTAACATTACAGATTCATCTGCTCCAAAATCCTCGGACGACGAAGAAGACAATCAATCAGTTAAAGTTCCTGATCTGAATTCTCCAGATAGCATTTCCGATGATTTGGTAAGGCCTTTGCCACCCCAAACTCATAGGAGTCCACGCAAGTTAACAGCTTCACAATCAGAGCACAGCAAACGTAATCCGTCTCCTTACTACTATTCGGATTTACTTAAACCCAAAGATCCCTCGGCATCAGTAGGTGCCAACGATAAGGAAGCTAAACAAAAGAGTCGTCAATCAACTGTATCGGAACCTCCTCAATCCACTCAAACTCTACCACAAGCTAGTGGTCCTTATCGCAAAAGTACTAGTCTTGACGTTCCCGAACGTTCGGAGGAACGAGACGAGCAAGACGACGATTTTGATGAAACAGAGCCAACCAATAGTACGGTCCTCCCGGGTCCCCTAGACACACCCAAACGTTATTCCTTTACTGAAGAAGGTGTTCATATAATACGTTGTGATTCACCTTCCACCACTACTTCAGAGGAGTCCGATTGCAGTGAGTGCCTCAAACGTCGCGAATGGCATGCACGTGCTTTAGCTCTGGTAAGAAAAACCTGTAACGTTCAGCCCTTAATACCGGCTGCCGCAACCGATTACGGTAATATTTGTCAAGAGGGTTCCGTGGAATTGAATTGTGGCAATCTTCCCGAAGAATCTCCGTCAATGCCACCACATAGACTGCTAGGACCTGCAGTTTGTGCCTGTGTTGCCCCCGCTCTTGGTGATGACTTAGATGAATATTTTCGTCCTCGTAGCATTTTCTACGTGCACCCACATGGAGTTCATGAATGTGTTGACTGTGCTCCCGATACAAAAAATCTAAATACAAATACTAGTTCTCACAGTGCTTTGGATTCAAATAGTCTTGCCCAGTCCGATAACGCTCTCGACGAAATATCTGTGGTTGCCGACGAAGACGACGAAATGTCGGGACGTACACGTCAGTTGTATGAGACGGCATTCGATTGCAAAATTGCCAAATCAGATGATGATTTAGATGAGGTGGATCGCATAACAAATCACTCAGTATTGCTGCAGCTTAACAATGGCAATTTGCCACCGCCCAAGGCGGAATCACGTAACTCCAAGTCATCAAAAAGTCGTTTAGAGGGTAAGCGTTTGAAGAATTCAAAGAATCAGGCCATACAAGAACAAGGTAGCAATTCAGGTGGTAATAATAGTGGCAGTGGTTCCCCTTTGACGGTGGGTGCAGTGAACCGTACTGTGGAAGCAGTGCCAAGTATTGTATCAGGACTATCGACAGAGTTGAGCAACGTTCATATTAGAGAGCAAGATGTGGATCAACAGAACAATCCAACAACGTCCAGTTCACAACTACCTATGCGTGGTTATACGCCTTCACCGCCATCTACAGCCCCGTTGCCTATGAAGTTTCCCGGTAAACATGAACGATTTTTTATGAACAGCATACGAAGTGCACCCAACCTGCCATCATCGAATCCGGCCCATCCGCGTTTACGCGATCTCCGTCTTCCACTACAATCCAATTTGAGACAACAACAACAAACGGGATCCTCACTGGCCACCAGCAATGAAAACAGTCTAACCGACAGCGCTTACGTGAATCCACCATCTTCCAGTATACACCATAATCATAACAGTCACCATCACCATCATTTGTCATCTCATCAAGGCACGAACAATGTAACCGGTGGCTCTAGATCCCGCAGCCGACCACGATCGTTTGTTCTTGAGTCGGGGCGGGTACTGGAGCTGCGAAAAAGCCACGCCTCTCACCACCACCACCATGTTGGTAATGGCAGTCGAAGGCCTCACAATTATTCCTCGACCGAGAGCATAGCAACATCGAGTAGTGGTGGCAGCATGGAATCGCTACGCTCGAGCACTAGCGAAGGAAATCGCAGTACGTCCAGTTCAGAGTCAAGGCACTCGACGTCGTTGAGTTCACATAGCTCTGAATCTGGTAGCTCGAGTGTTGCTTTTCCCCTTAGAGCACCAGTGGTCATACATTCCAAATTGCATATCCTTAGTCCCATATCAGACAAGTCCTCCCAAGAACCGGCCTCCGAGTTGTCTGAGCAAAATAAAACTCAAAACGCTTCACCCGAAGATGGCGCAGCCATACAAACGAATACAAATAATCAACAGCTGCTGCAGCAGCAACAACAACAGCTCCAGCTGCGCTCAGGCGATACAGAAAATGTACGACCCTCTCCCCAGCTACAAATAGATGCCTTGAAGAAACGAAGACCACCGGCAAATAAAACCCTAATGCAGCTGACAGATGAGATACTCGGATCGGACAGTGGCATTTCATTGCACTCCAGAGAAGATGGCAAGCCATTGATGGGCTTGCAAAAGTTTACGCTGCCAAAGTTAAATTTCCCGCCAAATGACAAGGGAAATAATCATAGTGATATTAGTGCGGTAGGAGCCATGAGTAATAGTGTGGGCTTGCCGCAAGATTTAAGAGATCTTCCGTTTGATATGCCAAAATTGAGACGAAGAAAAACTTTACAACAGGTGTGTATATAATAAGGCTATAAATAATGAAATGATTTAAACAGGAATTGTACTTTCAGGATGCTTGTACTTCGGGTAGTGCCACTTCAGTAGATTTGGGTGATCTTCCTTTCGATATGCCCAAACTGAGAAGACGTTTGCGAGCCAACCAAGCAGAAATCAATAATCTTATGATGCATAGCACAGAATCTAGTGGTATCTCACAAGCCTCATCTAGTCATTCTATGAGGGATGACAATAAAACCGCTATGAAACTGGGTAAGAGTAACACATTTCTCTGAGTGTATTAGTGGCTGAATGCCATTGTTTCCTGTTTTACTATTATGTGGCTGTGTATTGCAAGAGTTTGATCAGCCATCAGTGTTAACATTTTTTAATTAACCTCATTCCACTTCAATACCCATATGTACAACACAAAGTGGCTCACATTGTATTGTTAAACACTTGGCTAAAAATATTTATTGAACAAACACATAAACATAATTTGATGCAATATATGGGCTGGTTGTTGTACCTGGTTAAATAGGCAATTGAGTGTGAGAATAATAAATAAACGAATTTCTTTTGTATTTGTTTTTTACAGACTCTGCAATATTCCGTCAAAATCTCACCTTGAATCTCAATGAACCACGACAGGCGAACAATAAGTTTGGCAGTTTGGATTTACGTGGTCTTACCAATAACAAAGAACTCAATTTGAATTTGAATGCAACAGCCTTTGCCACTGCAGTCGATCTGATTGATGTCTCAATACCATTGGAGAGACAAGGGTAAGTGGATTTATACCAAAAAAAGGAAACGTTTAATAAACTTTATTGTATGTGTTTGTGTTATTAAAGATGGTATCATGGTTCAATTACACGTATTGAGGCTGAAACTACTCTAAGACCCTTAAGTGAAGGCAGCTTTTTAGTACGCAATTGTGAGTCCACCAAACAGGACTATTCATTATCCTTAAAGTGAGTGTGTAATATGTAATTAAATTAAAAATGGTTAGCTAATTTGTTTTTAATTTTAGGGGAGCAAAAGGCTTTATGCACATGCGTATACAACGCAATGAATGCGGTCAATATATATTGGGTCAATTTAGTCGTCCATTCGAAACGGTGCCCGATATGATAAGACACTTTTGTCTCAATCGTCTACCGGTTAGAGGAGCCGAACACATGTGCTTAATAGAGCCCGTTATTGCCCAATTACTTTAAAAAAGTACTCTATCTCTCCCTACGCAACACATACTACTCAAGCAAGCATTCTAACATTGAATTAAATATAAATTAAATATGATAATGAAAACATACATACATATATCTTCCAGTTATCGTAGAACTATATACTTTTACATACATAAATATAAATACAACAATAAAAACAACTAACGCACTCACTCTCTCTCTCTCATACTTAATGTTAGAAACACTGAAAAAAAAAGCATCTCAAAGAAAATTCAAATTAAACAAAATTATTTTTTATTATTATGTTTAACTATTAGACAATATAATTTATAAATTTAAAGCGTAAAACAATAAATTAATTTCTAAATTTTTAATTTGGTTTTAATTTTATTATTAACAAGCAAATGGTCAAATTCTTTAATAAATTCATTATTCAAAATGAATTTATTTAAAGTTTTATTTTGCTTCCGTTAACAAACTATTTATTTAAAAAGCAACTAAGTAGTTTAAAAAGGATTTCTTTGTAGAATTTGCTTTATACTCGTAATAAACTAAATAAATGATCAATACTTCAGCTCGTTAGTAATTTCGTAATTCTGGAAAAAAAGTGTAACGATAACAAAATAATACGAAAAAAATACTTTGTTGATTAATTTTATGTAAACCGCTTAAAATACTAAAAGAAAATTCTTTAAAAAAAAGCCTCTCAAAGAGCAAAAACTATAAGCCATACATACATATACATTGTTTTTAAACTAATACTCACATAACCCCACATATACACAACTAGCTGTATGTGTCTAATGGTGGTGTATGTGTATTGTAATACTTTACTTTATTCTTTAAGTGCAATATATATATTGTTTAGTTTTTTTTTTATAATTCTGTTCTGATTCTCATTTAGTTTATAGTTATGTGTGCCAAACAATAATTTAAGTTTAATTAGTTGGTTCTCTTTTTCCCCTTAGTTTTGCCAATAACTAATGTTTATTTTTTTACTAATTCAGTTTAAAAGTGCAATATTTCTTTTTTGTTGTTATAGATTATTTTTTCTACTTTTTTAGTTCAAATATTTAGTACTTGTTTTAAATTTAAAATTTATATTAACATAAAGAAAACATTATACAAGTATATAAATTATATACATTTCCATATTTATAGAATGAAATAAATTAAAAAAAAACAACAACAAGAAATAACAACAAACATATTATAAAAACAACAAGAAAAATAACAATATAATATACATACTTATACATACAAAATAAACATATTAAAACGATTAATTATTATGAATAAAAAGAATAACTTTAATAATACATATATTAACTTGAAAGATAAAAAAATTAAAAATAAAAAACACAACAAAAATTGTATTGTATAGTTTTTAGAAGTTCATACATAGAAATAAAAGAAACAATTATTAGAAAACCGAAAAAAAGTTGAATCTTATTTAGTTTTTAAAATACATTTGCTGAAATAATTTCACATAATATTTATTTTATTATTCTATAGTCCAGACAGACTATAGACTGATCTATAGGTGAAAATATATACTGATCCATAGATCAGACTATAGACTGATTTAAAGGCTAGACTACAGACTGATCTATAGTCCAAACTATAGACGGATTTATTAATTCCAGTCGCTTAAATAAAGCTTCTTTTCAAACCTTTACGTCCTTTTAGGTTAATGTCTCTGCTAAGAGAAAATTTTGTCGCTGTCCTTATTGTTGTGACTAAAAGTTTTAATAAAGCTTTTTTCAAACCGTCCGTTGAATGTCTCTGCTTAGAGAAAATTTTGTCTCTGTCCTTTATTGTTATGACTAAAAGTTTTGATAAAGCTTTTTTCAAACCGTCCGTTGAAAAAATCCTTTTCGGTTAATGTCTCTGCTAGTAAACAGTTATGCTAAGGATAGTAACAATAGGTTTTTGTAAGGATAAAAGCTTCAACTATGTTTTAAAATGGTGGTGGCATTCACTGTAAACTGTATCCTTTGTAAGGATAAAACTTTTTATAATAAAGTTTTGAAAGACAAAGTGGTGGAAAGGAAGCCTGATATAACTGGATAACTTGGGTTCATTTATTTAATAATTAAAAAAATTCACAATAGTTTAAAGCTTTTATTTAATAATAGGAATTTACCCTTTATTATTGTACACTGTGCTTTCTATGGTACTTTTAGATTATTTTTAATTTTGTATTTTTTTTGGTTAACTTTTAGGAAGAATATAAAAGTTTAAAAAGAACAAAAGTAATTGTTATATAAAAATTTATAATATTTTTTTCCTTTTATATAAAGACTCACTAGCTTTAAATTATTGGCAGTTTATACAAAATTAAAACTAATTATTGTTTATTTCATTTCATTGCAGATTTTATTCCAAGTAATCCGGAAATTGGTAAGTGTATTCAATTAGTATTTTGTGTTGTCAAGTAAAAATTAAATTTGAAGAAAATTTTCGAATATTGGAGCATTAGTGTTGTAAATAATGGTTCAAAACCTAACTATAGTTGAGAATTGAATTATATTTAAATGTTTGGTATTTGAAATGTAGAGCTTTTCAAACATTAAGTTAAATTTATGGCCACCTATTTAAACTTACTATAATAATAGAAAATACCAAAGTAAATGATTTTTTTAATAACGTTCAAATGGAAAGACATAATAATAACATTCATAGTAATTTCCAAAAACTTTCCAATTACAACTGTCATGTTAATAACATGACTTCCAATCTCCAACAAATGTTTTCGAATAACAAAATAAATCCAGCGCAGGCGTTTTCATATAAATCCTCATTAGACATTGAAAAATGTAAAGATGAAAGGAAAACACAACAACACAACAATAAAAAAATCAGACATAAAAACCGAATCTGGCTAACACACTGACCGCTATAAAAAACAAGTTAGTAATGTGCCATCGTTATGTAGCTAACAACAACTCATCACAAAACTATGCTTATAGGATAAAAGGAAACGGAAGGAGGCAGACAAATACCAAAAACACAGACACATACATACAAATACAAAATTTATGCACACAATCAAACAAACAAAGGCCACAGTGTGATATTAAGAAAAGAAATGATTTAAAAATAATAAAAAAACGTATAAAACTAAAATGTAATAGAAACGTATTTGTTGTTACAAAGTAAAGAGCATACAACACACAGAGCAGAAAAGCTTGTAATATATTTGCAACGTTGTTTTTGAATGAATCCTTAATGTATACTTTATTTCATTCATTCTTTCATTCTTTATACACGGATTTAAAAAATTTAGATGCTCTTAAAAATAATTATAAATTTTAATCTTTTATGAGATTGTTTGTTTGTTTCTATGTATGTGGGGGTGTGCGTGCATGGTTTACACTCCCAAAAGCTATTAAAATCTTTAATACTTGGCAACGCTATAAAATCAAATCTTACTTGTCTAGATGGAAATGACTGACCATAAGCCATTTTGATGTACTATCCAGTACCCAAAACACAACTCAATGTTGTTGGAAGGACAAAAAAAAACACAGATGCCAGAAAATAAAATATGAAATAATTTAACCAGCCATAAACATATTTTAATGGCAACTCTTGGCCATTAAAAATGCTGCGCAACATGTTGCACATAGACTTAATATGGCACTGAAAAGGACAAAGGCTCTTTAGGCTTAAAAAAGGACTAACACAACAAACAAGAACAACTTTAATAATACTCATAACAATACCATCAACTGTAATTTGTTTAAGGATGGGCGCGGGCTTGTTGTAGATTTAAAACTGAATTAAATTAAAATGTGCGAAAAAAAACCATCACTCTTTCCGCAAGGGATGTATGTGTCTGTTTCACCCCTTTCAGTTGATTTGATTTGATTAGCTGGCCTTTTTATTGTTGTTGTTGTTTTTTTGCGCCGTTGCTTTGTGTGTGAAAAATAAACTTAATTAAATTATTTCAAATACTTACTGCAAATAAAATTTGCTGTTTCTGCTGTTGTTTGTTTTTTTCTTTCTTGGGGTTTTGGGACAGATTTTACGAACGATTTGTTGTAGAATTTGGTTAGAGAAAAAGTTTAAACAAATGATAAAAATGCAAGATTTTTATTTTTAAAAAGTTTGGACAGAGAAAGATTGTCAGAGAAAGTCAAACCATGAATGCAGTAGTCAGAGTATTAAGTTCTGCTGTCGTTGGAACTCTTTCATGGGGAAAAGTTTCGGATTAATAGGATTATCGCTCTTATGCTAATCTGTTTTGAGGGAATGTAGACTTTTTTATTATTAAATAAATTTTGCAATAAAGTATTTTCTTACATGCTCATCACGAATAATTTCATTAGAGTCTAAAACACACCTTAATGTGAAAATAATCAGTAATTTGTTTGTTTAAGCCAAAATGTTTGTATGTAATCCGTATAGGTAGTCAAAGGATAATTTTTTTAGAACTAAATGCGGCTTTATAATTTTTCAATACTCACAGTCATTAACGTAGCCCTATGCCCACATAGTCTTTTTCTACAACACCTATTCAAAGTAGCAATTACAACAGTTACTATGTCACCCAGTTCTTTTCAATTGTAATACATTCAACACTCAACAGCAAAAAAAGAGAAGCGTTTGCCCTTTTCTTTTGTTAATTACACTTCCACTTTGTAAAAACTATTACCTTTTTTACAAGCCTTTAAGTAAACTAAAATTCCCAACAAATGCAATCAAGTTGGTAGCAAGCATAGATGATGTCTTTCTCCCTAGAATGATAACAAAGAAAAAACTCCATCCACTGCCGGGTGAGAAGTTACAGGGAAGTTACAGACAGGCATGAGTATGATGACAGGGTTAAGAAGCAAAACATGAGAGCGGATTTAAACACAAAACCTTGTGGATAATTAAAACGGAATTCATTTGATTTAATTGTATTTTATGAGTTCTTTTGTATAGACATAGACATGTGAGTTTTTGTAGATGGTAACGCATGTGTGTATAGGTATGTGTTTTTTTTTTAAAATAAACTTCAACGTTTATACTCACAGTCATACATACACATAATAAAAAGTAAAGAAAAGTCACACAGTCAGACGTATGAAACTTTCAGCAGGAAAAGCAACAACACAAAATTAAATAAATGAGAGAATAAAGAAAAGCCAGATAATAACCAACAAGTATGTATATAATGAAAGTATGTGTGAGTGAGTGGAAATGTACACCAGTACGTATGTATTTTATACATTTTACACATATTTCACATACGCTCTAGCTGCCGGGTTTTGTGCATACGTGTGTGTTGTGTGTGTGTAGGTGCTGTTTAACCAAGAAAGAGGTAATTAATCATACTCCACGTCAATGAGGGCGACTATATGCACTCATACATTCCTACATATTATTTCCCACATACATGTGTACGTTTATTTGTAAAAGAGGAATGTAGGAGTCATTTCAACTTGTCTGCATGTTTGTGAATATGTGTGAGAATTTAATATGTGTGTAGATGAGGATGTTTTGGTATTTGTTTTAAAGAAATTATTTCTTTTTTTTTTTAATAAATGAGTTGTTTATTTTTATACTGCTATTGGGTTTTCTCTAGTTTAATGTTCATTTTGTTGTTATTGTTTGCTGCTGCTGTTTATGCACCATAACTCTTTTAAACTCAAATCAAATGGAAATATATATAAATATATGTTTGTTGGCTGTTTTTCCTTCTTACATTTCATTTCATATTAAACATTCACATAAAAATTATATACAAAAGAAAAACGTTTTGTTGCCATTGTTAACAACCAAGTGTGGAGTTTTAAATTGGCCTTATAGCACTTTAAAAATTTCTTTTTAATACTGATTGAACAATTTTGGGGTTCTTAGCATTTTATTACTATTTTTCACTTTATGTGGTATCTAAAATTTAACAAAATCTTATGACAAATAATCATGAGAAACAAGTCAATGAAAAGGGTTTGCAAACATAACCAAATCAAAAGAGATTAGCCAATTTTTAGGTATATTAAAGGAAATTTAAAGTAATATTTTTTAACGAAAACCCTACTAAAGCTAAAAGCCGGATATTAGTACAATAAAGCTGTTAATGCAAGTAAATAAAAGAATCACATCCTTTACCTGTAGAATGGCACAAAAATAAAAATAAAGAGAAAACTTAATTGAAAAATGTTTAGAGCAAAACAAATGAAATTTAACTTGAATAAAAAGCAATAGTTTTTGTTAATATTTAAATACCTTTTTAAATAGTTGACTTACTTGGTGAAAAGTAAATTTAAAAAATACTTTTTTTCTCATAAATTTAATTTTTGGCAAACCCTAATCGAAGAGAATCTATTGAAG